AATTGGCTGCCAACTCATCATGTGAAGTGTCTTAAGGATATCCTTAATTGGCCAGAGGAAAGGACAAAAGAAAAAAAATGCATAAAGAAAAAATTGGAAGGAGCTGGAGCGCCACTCCCTAATTAATGCATGAATAAATGACCAGCAATGGTCAGCGTGATGCTTCCAAGAGATCCAGAAGAGAGACTTAAAAGCTTTAGAATAGACCTGGGCATTTTACAGCCTCCATGTCACATCCTTTGGCTGTCCCTGCCCAGCCTGTATGGATTGCTTTTATTTTGAAAGTGACTGCTTTTTTTTTTTCAAAAAAATATGTATTTGTGCGTGTGCATGCCTATGCACTTTCACAGCCTTATTGCTTTGGCTATCCAAACAGTCTCAGCGGCCCTTGGGAAAATTAATTGCCCACCTGTGCTTTAGAGGGTAGCTGGTTCACACATATACTTTTGCCCATGTTACTGAACATTTCCCCTTTTAGTTCAAAGGCATATTGCTCAAAACTAGTTAATGTAACTATTTAAAAAGTATATAGATCCATTCTAAAATATTTCTGAAATTAAGCTTTAAATTCTATATAAAACCAATATATCGACATGGCCTGAACACAAAAAAACTACCAAGGAATACATCATCCAACTCACAATCAATTTGTAACAATTGGTAAATTTATGATAACAATTAACAACTCCCAGGGAGAAATCATAAAATAATTTTAAAATGAGATTAAATTGGCAATTTTAAAAATGACATTAAAAGCTGCACAGAGAATAAGTTACAACATATATGTAACCCACCTGGAGCCTTAATGGTGACTGAATGACAAGACAAAACCTCTCTACAAAGGGATACATCAATTATATTCATTCCAGTGAGACTGAAAGTAGAGCATTAACAAGAGCTAAAGTCTCTTATGATGTTTTGCCGTATCAAAGTTATATATACTTACTCAGGTGAAAGCTTTTCATAGATTTCCCTTCTCAAAGCAAAAACAGCCCTTAGCATTCTCTCTCTGTAAATCAATATCCATTAGCAATTCTCTTTTAAAACCCAAAGGTTACAAAGCTAAAATAGATAGATCCACAGTTGTGTAGTTTGCCTCTAAGATCTCCTTCCCAGTTGAGTATATTATCTAGAAGAATCAGGGGAGATTAGCCTTCATAACAGAATGTCAGTTTAAGCCAATAAGTGCTCTTTCCTAGCCAGACTTGCATTTGTGCTGAAATAGATTTGATTTCCAAGCAAAGGGCAGCACTGGGAACTTTCCGAGACATCAAAGTTAGCCTTCAAAAACCTGAGTTGCCTCCAATAAGGAGAAACATTTCCCATTTGAGATTAGTGAGGGGGGTGACCGTGGACTCTCTGATTTATCTAGTGCAGTGGCCCCCAACCTTTTTAGTACCACGGCCCGGTAAAAATGTACAAAATGTTCCACGGACCGGTACCGGCATCAGCACGCACGACCAAGGCAAGGCAAGCCGAGCGATCGGCCAGCCAGCCGTCCCCCGCTTCTCACCTTCAACTCCTCCTTTGTACCTTTTCGGGCTCTTTCTTAATCTCCTCCTGAGTAACACCATCGGGACGGCTCTTTGTTCGAAGCCGCCCCCCCCTCGACGAAACTAAGGCGCGAGGATTCCTTCAGCACCCAAACGCCACTTTCGACGACCGACAAGCTCACCCGGAAGCACTTTCTCAACCACCGTCGAAACAAGATGGCGGTGCCCAAGCAAAATAGGCGGCCTAGTAAAAAATGATCCACGGACCGGGACCGGTCCGGGGCCCGGTGGTTGGGGACCACTGATCTAGTGTACCAGTTGGGCCAGTTCTTGGATCAAGGAGAGCTTTAGATGGACACTTGAGTCTTAAGTCACCTCATGAATGAACTATTGCTATGTGCTCTACATGGGGCTGCTGTAGAAGCCTATTCAAAAACTATCCAGAATACCAATCCAGAGTTCAGTGGTTCAGGCAAGTATGGGTGTGCTAATTGTTGGTTAAAATTCAAAATGCTGCTTATTATTAATCAAGCCCTTAATAGCATAGGATCTGGTTTGAGATATTACCTATCTCCAATACTTTCTGCTCATCTGATAAGTTTGGTAGTGTGCTTGCTGTGCTCCAAGTCCCTTTGATTATACAATATGAGGACTTACAAACTTAACCTGAATGAGTTAGTTTTATACACTGCTCAAAAAAATAAAGGGAACACAAAAATAAGACATCCTAGATCTGAATGAATGAAATATTCTTATTAAATACTTTGTTCATTACATAGTTGAATGTGCTGACAACAAAATCACACAAAAATTATCAATGGAAATCAAATTTAGCAACCCACGGAGGTCTGGATTTGGAGTTACACTCAAAATTAAAGTGGAAAAAAACACTACAGGCTGATCCAACTTTGATGTAATGTCCTTAAAACAAGTCAAAATGAGGCTCAGTAGTGTGTGTGGCCTCCACGTGCCTGTATGACCTCCCTACAACGCTGGGCATGCTCCTGATGAGGTGGCGGATGGTCTCCTGAGGGATCTCCTCCCACACTTGGACTAAAGCATCCCCCAACTCGTGGACAGTCTGTGGTGCAACGTGGCATTGGTGGATGGAGCGAGATATGATGTCCCAGATGTGCTCAATTGGATTCAGGTCTGGGGAATGGGCAGGCCAGTCCATAGCATCAATGCCTTCGTCTTGCAGGAACTGCTGACACACTCCAGCCACATGAGGTTTAGCACTGTCTTGCATTAGGAGGAACCCAGGGCCAACCGCACAAGCATATGGTCTCACAAGGGGTCTGAGGATCTCATCTTGGTATCTAATGGCAGTCAGGCTACCTCTGGCGAGCACATGGAGGGCTGTGCGGCCCCCTACAGAAATGCCACCCCACACCAAACCGGTCATGCTGGAGGATGTTGCAGGCAGCAGAATGTTCTCCACAGCGTCTCCTGACCCCGTCACGTCTGTCACATGTGCTCAGTGTGAACCTGCTTTCATCTGTGAAGAGCACAGGGTGCCAGTGACGAATGTGCTAATCTTGGTGTTCTCTGGCAAATGCCAAATATCCTGCACGGTGTTGGGCTGTAAGCACAACCCCCACCTGTGGACGTCGGGCCCTCATACCACCCTCATGGAGTCTGTTTCTGACCGTTTGAGCAGCCACATGCACATTTGTGGCCCGCTGGAGGTCGTTTTGCAGGGCTCTGGCAGTGCTCCTCCTGTCCCTCCTTGCACAAAGATGGAGGTAGCGGTCCTGATGTTGGGTTGTTGCCCTCCTACGGCCTCCTCCATGTCTCCTGAGTAGCGCCTCCATGCTCTGGACACTACGCTGACACAGCAAACCTTCTTGTGACAGCTCACATTGATGTGCCATCCTGGATGAGCTGCACTACCTGAGCCACTTGTGTGGGTTGTAGACTCCGTCTCATGCTACCACTAGAGTGAAAGCACCGCCAGCATTCAAAAGTGACCAAACCATCAGCTAGAAAGCATAGGAACTGAGAAGTGGTCTGTGGTCACCACCTGCAGAACCATTCCTTTATTGGGGATGTCTTGCTAACTGCCTATGCTTTCCACCTGTTGTCTATTCCATTTGTACAACAGCATGTGAAATTGATTGTCAATCAGTGTTGCTACCTAAGTGGACAGTTTGATTTCACAGAAGTGTGATTGACTTGGAGTTACATTGTGTTGTTTAAGTGTTCCCTTTATTTTCTTGAGCAGTGTAGTTCTTGTGAATCCAGTAGCCTATGCAAATTTTCCAAAAGGGTGTTTCATTTTGTTGAAGCTTTTTGAAAAGCATCTCTTAGAAGGTGCTTCCCATAACCATGCAGCCTTCTTGCTTCTAAAGACAGAGTAAGTGGGTATATCGACCCTGCTTTGCACTTTCTTCCAGTATCCAAAGTGCCAATCCTGGTTGCAAAGTCACACAAAGTACACTGACATGTTTGTTACTCATGTTACTTCAGTGAGGTGTATTGCAATTGCCTAACCTTAAAATAATTGAGTTAATTCTACAAACCACATTTTAGTTGAACATAGATTAGCATCTTATGTGACCACTGTCAAGCAAATCCCCCTATTTTGAAAGGGTGGTGGTATCAAGGAAAGAAACAAGGTGCTTGGGACCGTATAATATTGTTTTGGAGACCCGGCCCAATATTAGGCAAAATGAAAGAGCTTCCTTCATGATTTGCAGAAACTGAGCAGCAAAACTTACCCCACACAAAAAGCATAGCCTCAGAAACCTTTCAAACAGTGCATGTAAAGCATTGTTGTAATTAATACTTCACCTGGTTAATGGTGGTGTTTATGATGGTGCTGTCAGGGTCTGCCATCTTCTGTTCTCACTTTGAAAGGGAAAAAGAAAATAGCTGATCCATCAACTTCATTTAATGGCAAGAGAGCAGATATCAGGCTTATGACACTCTTTACTCTATTCCCCAAGGAGGAAGAAAACACTTTCACACGTCTGTGCTGTGATATGCTGTAAGACAGAGTGAAGCAACGAGCTTTCTGAGGTAAAATAAAAACAAAACAAAATGGTATTCCTTCCATGAATGAAAACCTCCTGTTAATACTGACAATGGGAGACATCTTCCATTGTTCTTGAGGGCAACAGATGGATAGAGTGGATACAGAATTGAGGCGAAGGCCCACTTCTACTTGGGGGACAAGCATCACTGTCTGAAGCTCATTGTGCCTTACAGCCTTCACTCAGCATAAACTCATATAATTGGACAAAATGTTGTTCTATGGAGCCAGTATCAAACTGTGAATGATGAAATCTAATTCAAATTGAGTTGAGAAATAACCGCTTAGTCATGCAATTTGCTAAAAAAAAGAGAACCCCCAAATGAGTGAATATGCATTCAGCTAACATTCTGTTATGACATGTAATTCAGTCCAAAGTAAAAACATGGCACTTTTGTACTGATTGACTAATTTTTCTCCTGCTCAGAATGGAAATACATATTTGACATAAAAATAGGTGAATCTTTTATAATCAAATCCCGAGAAAAGGCTTTAACATTTGGGGACTTTTTTAAAAAAGTGTTGTTTCTTAACAAATAAAGAAGCCTAGAGCCAATTCATTTTTTACAGGGATGTATCATATTGATTGAACTTTTTAACCCAATAAAGCTTGACACTGTTATGTTCTTTCAGTAAAATAACTTTTGTTAATTGGAAGCTATCTAGGGACCAGACTGGATCCAAGCAGATTCAGATTTCAGTTTGCACTTGACTAAAGATCTAACCGAATTATTTTGAACCAGCAATTCCTTCTGCTAACCTTTGCTATAGGATGAAATGAGGGGAGCCCCCATGTATGCCTGCTGTGCTTGCATAAGATAAGGCGGGATATAAACACAAGACATACTTTTTAAAATAATGAAAAGTACAGGTATCTGTCCATTTTTCTTTTTAATGTTAATTTTTAGGACGAGGGAGTGAAAATAGATTCTTGAGCATTCTTTGAACCAGTCTGGAGTATAAAATGTCTACTGTATATGTGCCATGCCAGCTTGGTATAGCTCCAACACTACAGCAAATGTAGGCTTGCTTGTCTTGAAAGATTGCATAAATATATAAAAACCCACTGTGTCTGGATTAGGCCAATGGCTATCCAGTCTAGTCTAGTTCAGGATCTTCCTAAATCCCTTCCAAAATTAGCCAATTAGACAGTTTCATGACGTGACTTGTTTTAATAATTGTTTTTATATTACCAAGAATCAGTACCTATCTTAGCCCTGCTCTCCTGCACTGTCCTTTCCTTGCAGAATTTGGATGGCCAGCCTTGTCTTCCTGACTGCCCCTTGCCCTGCTGTGTCAAACATAGCAATTCAAAGCCCTTGGCTTGTGAATGGTGGAATCACTGGGGTTCCTTGACACCTGTGCTGGGATGAAATATACCTTCTTTGGGTAGATAAAGTGGATTAGAATTAACACCACAGAATTTAAAGTGGTGGAAGAAGGGGCCTATCTAAAAACTTAACAAAGGGGCTAGAAAAAAGCCATTCGTTTATAGAAATCTTCTGGGAATACCATCCTAAGTACTTATACACTGTAAGTGCCACATGTAAAAATTCCTACAAGAGCAATGAATTACCTTGCCATTTTTATCACCAACTTTGCTAAAATCAGTCTGGAATCAGGCTTACAGCAAACTTTTATTTCACTTCTGCAATTTGTTGCATTTAAAGATGGTTTGAAAGCTCCCAGGAAGTGTTATTTCACAACAAACTAAAGTTTATTAATTGAAGGTTTAACAGTGAGGGAGCTTGACTGGGTTCAGCAAGATGCTTATATTTTAGTTTCTAGTTAGTAAATAATCAGGGGTCAGTTCAGCTTCATCCATAAGAGTTGGAATTCCTGTTTGCAATTAAGAAGTTATAATAAATAGGTAGGGAAAAGGGATAAATTACAGGAACAAGTCAGAGGCAGTGCTTCGAGAACCACAAAAGTTGCCTGTGGATGCAATTCACCCTGTTTAAAGGCTAGTCATGTTAAGTAGAAATGAACAAATGAATGAAGGCAAATATACAAGTCCCAGAATAATGTTGCCATTTCCAATCTGGGTCGATCACCGGGAGCACAGTGAAATGAATAAATCCGAGATAACTTAATAGTTCGTCTTCTTCCTTGTACTACACTACATACAGAGAAATAATTAATCTGCCTTCATCACCTCTGCCTTCATCTGCAGTATTGTAGCCACTACATCTCACGTTTCCCCCTGGTTTCTGGCAAGCAGAGAAGGGCGCGCATAAGCTGTGAAACAGAACGGATTGAAAGGAAACAGCATTCGGCAAATACTTCCTTGTAAGGAATTGGGGAAGCGATAGAGAGGATCGCGATTGTTCGCAAAAAGTTGGGTGCTTACGGTTTTCCTAATGACAAAAACAAGCATGCAATTCAATATTCAATGTGCAATTATTTAATAGGCAAATATCCCCAAACTCACCACCGTTCATTCATAGACAGCTCGTTTCAAAACCAGCGGCATTAGAGGAATCACGTTTACAACCAGAGCATGCCGCTTCTTTTATGTAAACTTTTTTTCTCCCTGTAAGATAAAAGTTCCCCCGGATGCTGGGGGTTGTAGTCGGCACCTCTGAAAGGTTACATGTCTATTTACGAAGAAAAAGATCAGAATGGACTCCCTTTCCCAGAGCGCCTTGCGCTGACTAAAAAAAATAGGGCGTGGGTAAGGCGTGGTTTTACAGGATGATAGATAAATTCTCCTAGTGATGACAGTCTGAAGTTTCTCCACAAGGGAGAGGATGCAAACGGTGGGAGATCTAGAGTTACATTTCAAGGTTCCCATATAGGCTAGCCTTTCAATTTAGGACAGACTATGCAGTCATCTTTCATAACCCTGTCAAAGGCATTTTTATTTTCACTGGCAGAGATGGATTATAATTTTCTTCTAGCCCTCTAATTTCATGAGCAATAAAATGTCACTGTTAAATACAGCCCATCCGAGGCATCTGAAAATATAGCGTGGAAACGCCTTGCTGTGAAAATCTTATTAAAGATTTGTCCTTGCTTTTATTTAAAACTTTCTACTCTGAATTCAAGAACCATCTACTTCCACAGATTTCAAGGGACGGAGTACATTTTTGCAGAAAATATTGAAGTGGTTCTTTTTCCCTTTTTATCTATCACTAGCGTTAAAATTTCATGTCCAAAATGTTTTTGCCTGCTGTGGGCATAATCGATTGGTGCAATATACTTGTTATGATTATGGCATGGGCGTATAAATTTACAGAGGCTGAAAGGACAAGACCACTAAAAGAAATGGACATAATTCACTGTGTGCAAAAATGTCCTGGCAGGCAAAATTATTTTGGCAGGCCAAAAGAAAATCAGAGCCTTCTAATTTTCTTTAACAGAATAGTTTTAGAGAAAAGCACCTCTGAGCATAAATAGAATGCATTTCTTTTTAGAATGGGAACAGCTTCACAATCTGAAACAGGAAATAATGAAAATGCTTTTCTGGTAACTGGATGGATGACAAATCTTGATTGCTTGGTGATGACATTTAGTCTGTTTACTAAAGGTTGTACTTAATCTCACCATGTTTATATTTCTGATTGGTTAGATTTATATCTATCTTGCTCTCCAGGAGCTCAAAACCTTCATTTTATTCCCTTTGCATATATGTATGGTAAGTTGTGAAAATTAGTGAGTTAATATGGATTATAGGACAAATTTATTTCTTGTAAATTCCAGATAAGGATAATTTTTTAAAAAAATTCTGCTGCCATCCAGTCGCAGCTCCGATTGATTTGAAAGGGAATTATTTACCTTGCAGTTCTAGACTCACTTACAGAAGAGTAAGCCTCACTGGACTCACCAGGAAGTGCTTTGGAATAAATACATATAAAGATTGTGAATGTTAGGATGGAAAATTAGAAGTGGGATCAGAGGTTTTTTCAGTGATTTTATAGCATGATAGGAATCAGCAGTGAGGTCTAACATGTTACTAAAATTAAGGAAAATAAATAATGCAAGCTGCAAACCAAGAGTTTACAAGGGGATGAGGTTTCTGAATCGGGGACAGAATAGAAACTAAGGTCTTTTATGCCAATTGGACTCACACAGAAACCTACACAGCCTATTAGCATCGGATGAGAATTCTGTCACAGCCTCAAACAGTTCACTAACAGTTCATGAAGTGACCTTTTGAAGTTACATCAGTGAAAAAAGTGACTTTTCACACAACCATTACAACTTCCCCAGAGTCATATGATCAAAATTCAGATGCTTGGCAACTGACTCATATTTATGACGATTGCAGGGTCTTGGGGTCTGCAACTTTCTGACAAGCAAAATCAATGGGGAAGCCAGACTCACTTAACAACCGTGTTACTAATTTAACAAGTGCAGTGGTTCACTTAACAACTGTGGAAGAGAGCAGTGGTGGTATTCTACCGGTTTGGCCTGGTTCTGGCGTTCCGGTAGCGCTGAAGAGCAGCGGAGTCCAAACCGGTTTTCTCTGAGGAGCTGCTCTTGGGCCCACCCGGGCTCCCATACTGACCTTTATGTCATGCTTTTGAAGCGAATCTGCTTTGCGCGGCCCAGCAGATTGCCCCGCGTCAACTGCTGAAGCACCAGGGAGAGTGCAGGTGAGTTGGAAAGCCTCTGTGCCTGCGGAAAGTGCGCATTTGGCATGTGTGTGTAAAGTGTGTGCACGCATGCCAAGTGCGCCCACCAAACCACACCCACCGAAGTGGTGATAAAATTTTTTCGAAACGCACCACTGGAAGAGAGGTCATAAAAATGAGGCAAGACTAATTTAACAAATGTGATGACCCAGAGTATATCAGAAATATAACAAAAACCACAACGTAACTAAAAGTCCTTTAATGCCTTCAGCTTGGCTTCACTGTTTCATTGTTCACAGTGGAGGAGTAAACTATTTTCAAAATAACATTTCAAAGGAAAGAAACACAGTTCAAATTCAAAGAGCTGATAACAAAGCAAAAAACAAACTGCACTGAATAAAGTTCCATGATGGACTAGGATAGATAACCAGGTACAGTCTGTTGGAAGAACGCCAACCAAGATAAACCTTCTTTAGGAATAAAACACTAATTTGTCTCCAGCGTCTGTTAGCACACTGGTCCAAACTCTTATGCATCTCTCACACCTGCAACCCATGAAGAGGATCATGGCCCTCTCCTCCTGAGTAGACCACGTTTTACCCTGATCCTCTCCTCCCTGCGTGCCCTAGGGTGGATAGGGGATGGGCCTGGGTCCTCCTCTGATTGCTCAGCTGGCCTCTGCCCTTCCTCAGCCTCCTCCACCACCTCTGGAGCCACACTCACTCCCTGTTGGCTGTCCCTCCTCTTCCTCAGAGTCAGTCTCCACAGGGGCATGACAACAAATGTCTTATTTAGCAACATAAATTTGGGCTCAATTGTAAACAGCCGTACATTGACAGCTATTTATACACATAAATATATCTAGACACAGAGGCATATTAATTACTATTACTATTTAATTAATATACTAATTACTATTACTGTGGATGTTTTACTTGTAGTCTAGTCATTACTATGGAAGTTTAAACTGCTATTTGCAAGTTGTTTTTAATTGTGGATTTTTGTAAGCTGTCATGATTCTGTATGAGTTGGTAGCATGTAAATCTAATGAACAAAGAGATCTTTCTGCTAATGTCTTGTGGCCTTTGGGAAACTAAATTCCAGACAACATTCACTAATCCAAGAGACACACCAAGAGACTGCAGGGAACAAAATTACCTTGTCCCCAGTAATGGGACATTTCAGTAAGGGCTTAGGATATATCATACCTGCCATAGGAACAATTTTTCAGAGGGAGAAAATATCTGACTCCCATGAATTTAATGCATATGAAGATGCATAATAAACGGCTGTCTTGTGCATTATAAATTGTCTGGAAAGACTGGTGATTAATGAGTGCTTCATTCATTCATTTCTGCTGCTCTGAGGTTTGGCTTAATCTGTTGTTGCTGCTTTTAGAGAAAGAAAAAAGAGAAAAGCCAACATGAGCCTGGAGGCCTTTAAACTGAAATATCATTACACCCCTGTCTTCATTCCCAAACAGAAACAGGGCAAACCTGCTCTAGAGTTGATGACACACCTTTAAGTTTCAGACAAGGCTTTAATGGGTTTGGTGTTCAGGTGGAAATGCTTATGTAGCCTTTGGTATTTATTACTTCTTCATCACAGAGTGGAATGAACAAGAAGAACAGCTCAAGTATGCAAGAAGGACACAGGAGGTTACCGTATTTTCTTATTTTTTACAGGTTGCTTTACAGATAGTCCTCGAGTTACAACCATAATGGAGACTGCTCATTACCACTCATAAGTGGTGACAGGTCTAAAGTGAGTCCATCATGTGACTGATTGAATTTTATAGCCTTTTTTGTGGCCATTGAATCAGTCATTAAGCAGTATTTGCTATGGAGCATTTTTGCTGACAACTGTAAACAAATAAATAAATAAAACTCCAGTTTTCAGCAAAAACTTCATAAATTGTGATGATGTTACCATAGGGCACTGCAAATATCTGTAAATACAGGCCAGTTGCTAAGCACCTGAAATGTGTTCACATGACTGGGGCTGTCGGAACTTCAGTGTTTACCTTTTTTGGGGGGGGTGCGTCATAATTTGAATGGTCACTAAGTGTGACTAGTCATAAGTCAAAGACTGTATTATATCAACATGGAAGAACTATTTAAAAAACTGAAGTGTAGAAATCAGGATGCCACTCTGTTTTCACAACTGTAAACTAGACAGTGACTAATTTTTATCATAATTACTCCCAGGTATCACGATCTTTTCTGTGAATTAAACCGTCATCTGATAGAACCTAATGAATCCCCATTCATATAAAAGGCTCTTAGGAGGAATTGTGAAAGTTTGGCTTTGTGTATTACACCTACACTCCTTATTTCCAGTTTCCTTATCTTTAACTCAATCCCTGCAGATATCTATTAAGTTAGCCTTCAGGAAGGGTGCAAAGACCAGGCTCTTCCCAGAAGCAATGAGATCAATGGGGTTAATAACAACAGCAATAGCACTTAGACTTATATACCACTTTATAGTGCCTTACAGCCCTCTCTAAGCAGTTTACAGAGTCAGCATATTGCCCCCAACAATTTGGGTCCTCATTTTACCCACCTCAGAAGGATGGAAGGCTGAGTCAACCTTGAGCCTGGTGGGTTTTGAACTGCCAAATTGCAGGCAGCTGGCTGCAGAAGTAGCTTGCAATACTGCACTCTAACCACTGCTTAAACTGTTAAGCTGTAAAGAGGTTTGTTTGATGCCTGGGTGGGAGGGTATTTTTGTTTTTAATATTTTATGGATTATTATGAACTGCCTGGAGCCATGGTCTGAGATAGGTGGCCATATAAATCTAGCAATAAATAAATACATATTTTTTAAAAAAAATTTAAATCTTCCCTTCTGTCCTCATTTATTATGGATTGTTGTGAATCACTGTGTTACAGTTAAAAAAAATCTTAAAATTTCAGTGTCAGGGTCAGTCTAAGTTAGACATCAGAAAAGACTTGCTTGTATCAGCTCCATAACTCCAAATGTCCAAAAGAAATACCGTATCTACCAGACGAAGAGC